TGAATAAGAGAACAACAGTGCTTGGAATTTGTTGGTCAAATTCATATTCCATGAAAACCTTTCCTAATTAAGTCTATCTATTTATATAACAGATTAAATGATTAGTATGCAAACATGGATTCAGGACATGGAAATATGACCCGACCCTTTTTCAAAAATAGATTAAAAATAGTTGGGAGGGATTGGAGGAGTGGGCAGTTTAGTAATTGAAGGGCGGGAGGATTAAGGAAGCTCAAGGGAAATGGGGAATGTCTTGTGGAGCAGTTTGGAATGAAGTGGGCGCCAAGCTAGGCATTGTCCCGGCTTTTCCATACCTCATAGTGGTCTTGCCACCTTTTTTTTAATCTTGGCTTTTCCCTTGTACAAGTATATTTTCTTTCACGGGATAACTAGTCCTTACCGCATGTTTATTAAAACTTCATTTTGACAACTTTATAACAGATTCCTAATTGTTACATGGGCCAACATTTTGTTTATTAATTTAAAGCAATGATAAAATCAAATGGAATAACAATGAAACCATTGGCTGTTTCTCTTGAGGCCCAAGTTTTGGAACAACGTTGGCTTCTACTAATACCGCTTATTCCAAGTCCAAAGACACCGGAGGGTAGAATGCTCGTTGGGCCACACTATCAGAGGATATCCACCAAAAAACACAAAAACAAACGAGCGACAAACGAAAGCACTGGTAATTTATTACATCAAACGAGGTTCACTGCAATGATAATTTCAGTGTAGTCAAGAGACTAGCAAATTGCAGATTATGGCTTCAGGATCTACGTCTACCATTTTGCTTTCCCCTAAACTCCCCACAAAGGGATATCCTACAGCAACACAAACTCACTCCCAGGAAAAGAACATAACAGGAACAGGAGTGTTACACCCAGTTGCATCAAGCTCCCAATTATGTATAGCCTGATAGTGCCACTACTTAAACTGGTGCTCAAACAAGGACGCCATCTCAATCTGCAACAAATCCAAAAGAAATTGAGCTGTTAGAATTTGGGAAAAAGAAAGATTTAAGTATAAGCACTTTTTCCTTATTGTCATGTATTATCAATACGTATGACACAATATGAATATCTTTTTCCCTTTTTTTTTTTTGAAAATTGACACAATATGAATATCTAATCGGATAAATCATTCATTAACATAGAAGTAGAAGAGGGGTAAAACGATATCAGAAAAATGTTTCCATCTGCGTCTGTGTGTCTTTCCATGTGTCAGAGGAGCACTGCATGCAAGTAATGTGATATCTATTTTTTATCATGTTTCAGCATAAAGGCTAGGGATTCACCTCTATTCAGATTTTTATGCAAATCTTAAATCTTTTCTCAGTAATAGAACACATCTCAAATAAATGAAGAAAACTACTAAAGAAAGAAGATGGGGAGTAAGAAGAAATGGGAGAGCGGATACATCCTCTTTGACAAGCAAAAAAGCAAAATCGTAAGATAAATTCTTAGCTTCAAGCCAGTCAGTATTCTAAGAGTTCAGACCCAGTCACAATATTTTAGACTTAATTCATATGAATATTACAGCCTTGGCTAGCCAGGTATGCAAAACTTTCTTAAGAGGGAGTGTCTGCACTTATCAAAAGAAAATTACATGCATTCTAATTATTATTATTATCAACAAAACCTATCAAAAGACAAATGATGGAAGTAATTTGAGTACCGAACAGTTATACGGATGTGTTATGACAGCATAAGCACTGCATAACCCAGAAGTTCAAGAGGTGATCAAGAGCATTACTAAGACAATGTGAACAAATAGAGCACTGGTTGAATGGTTCAACCTTACCCTTGTGCAGGAAAAGTTCACAACATAGACCAACAGGCTCACTCTTTACTCATTAGTGACGCAGAGCAAGGGGATGGTAATCCCTTTCTCGATTTACATACCACCAGTCAACTCCTAATCACTAAATTGGAATTCTTAAGAAATTGCAAACCAAATACCAAAATTGATGAATAAACATTAAAAACTTCTTAACTGCATCTAATAAATAATATTACTTTACTATCAACTCACTGTTGTCAAAGCACCCTCAGCACCTTTGTTCCCAGCTTTACCACCAGCTCGATTCAATGCCTGCAGTTTTCATGTGAAAGGAAACAATTATATAAAATCCCACTCTTGCCAGGCCCTGTGATTGAACGGTAATTGTGTCCAATAATAATAGAAGTCAACTCCCTCTAACATTCTAATATATTATGTCAAACTATTCTCAAGTCAATGACAACAAAACCCCCCTTCACAGTCGCTTGAGAGGTGGGATGCACAACTTATACAAGCATGATATAAGAATTTCCCCTCCCTCTCACAGTCCAAGATTCAATGTGAAGGAAGCTGAAGAGGGTGCCCATTAAAGCTGTCCAAGCAGCTATAGTGAACAACCCATCTAGCTTAACAAGAAGACCTAGAGAGTTTCTTAATGCAAAATGGTCTTATATGCAACTCTTGTATCATACCTGCTCCATGTCGTCACATGTCAAAACACCAAATATGCAAGGAACACCTACAGAGTTGATAAGTTACAGCTTAAAATCAGAAGAAATAATTCAAAATAGAAAAATAGAAGGAAAGAGACCAGCGACTATTGTATGGGTTACTCCATTTGATAATTCAAAACAATTCCACATAATTATTTTCTATGGCAAAATATTTTTCAAATTGCCAGGCATGAGATTGATGCAGATCTTATATCAATTTGTCCACCCAGTTTGAAAGGAAGGTAACTTTCAACTTTTCAAAAGAAAAGTATCCCGCAATTTGTTCTCTTGTGCCTTCTCATTTGAACAATTAAGAGAATAGGAATGGCATATGTGAGTAACTGATTATCATAATAGTATTATGTTGCCAGGTAAGAGAAAAATCTACAAAAATAAGAAATGTAGGGTGACAAAGTAGGAGTCACCTTGAAAGTAGCACATATGAAGATGATTTGACGATGGTTACACATGCAGTCTAAAAAGTTAGTAAGCATATCAAACGAAGTTCTCTATAACTTCACCATGCCATCAAAAAGGTTAACTGCATATGCATGAATAAATAGCAAAAGCAAGATATATGCTTTTGATCAATGAAAATCTAATTGTTGTCTTAATTCATAGGTGAGATGCAAGCTGCAATTGACTCTTGAAGCCATGATAGCATTTGACAAGACATGGATTCTACAAAATACATTAAACATGACAACTGACCTGAGTTTAAGCCAGCTGAAAGCACCCCAGATGCTACAGAATTAGCCACAGCATCATAGTGCGATGTATCACCTCTTATCTACTGACAATGAAGAGGATCACAGATTAACAAAATACAGCAAAATGTACTCAGGGACCCCTCATGATCAGATAAAAAGTTTCATGAGAAGATTTGCAAGTAATAAGAAAGAGATCATACCACAGCACCAATGCATAAAATTGCATGATACTTTCGAGACTTCCCCAGCCTTTCCGCAACAATACCAATTTCAAAACAGCCAGGAACCCAGACAACCTAATAAGAAATTGAAAAAATGATCAAGCCAACCTAAAAGTTGGCAACGGCAATGGTAAGGTTTCCCATATGAAAGTCGTGAATTTTCAAGAAATATTATCTATAGCACCTTGTGTTCTTGTTATACTTCCTTTTTGTGATGATAAATGTTAATTACTATCAAAAGATTCACATGTACAAAAAGGGCTTGTTCTGAATAAGACAATATCCAGAGCAAGAAATGAATCCTAGAAGAAAAAGGAATATCCTATATCCTAGTCTTTTGAGCTGCATTTTCAATAATTTTTAACATTCGCAGCAGCAATAGCAACATCAAGAAACAATGGGAAAAGGGGCAAAGAAAGCGCAGGAATGTAGATAGAAACATGGAAATACATGGAGAAGCAGACATGTAGAGACAAGAGATAAAAGAAGAGGAAGATTGCTGTTAAAGAAGGGTTTGTTATTTATAGGACTAGGAGTTACACACATCGATGTCTTCTTCATTAACTGAATACTTGCTGAAAGTGTCCAGGGCTCCCTCCAGGAGCTGCTTCGTCACAATCTCATTGAAACGGGCGATGACCTTTGACAAGCAAACACACAAAACAAAAACAAAAAGCGGCGGAATCAATCAATCAATCTTTGGCTATGCAAAATAATCAACTTCAATTGGAAATGGCAATAAAGAAGAACAGACCACGGCAAATCGAAGGCCTTGGGTTTTGGTAAGAGATCCCACCAAACGGCGGACGGCCGGCGCTTGGACAAAGGACGAGCGCTGCTTCCTATCCGGCGCAAATCCTGATATTGTCAAATATTATTAGTAGCATGAAATGAAGGAACAAAAAATAGTGAAAAAGGAAAAAAGGATGACCTTGCGGTTGCAGCTGGAGGAGGGAAGAGGAGAAGGAGAGGGCTGTTGACTTTGGAGTGGGCAGACCCCTGGCCCTGGGGATGGGGAATACACCACTTAAGAGACGCTCCCGCATCCAACAACAACCATGCGACGCCATTTTCTTTCTTCTGTGTTCTGCAGTGTCTGCCTGCAGCTACTGGTAGTATTTATACTCATAAAAAAAAAATGTCTCCATGTTTAAATCAAATTTAATGTAATAATAATATAGTAAAAAACAAAAATGTCTCAACATATTTTCCAAACCAAACTTGATTACAATGTAACAATATAATAGTTTACCTCAAATTTAAATTAATTCAAATTAAAATAATTTAAAATAAAAATGTCTACATATTTTATTTCAATTTATTTGATTCAGAATTTGATATCACTCAAATTGAATTAAAATTCGAAACAATCCAAAGTAATTTAATAAACCAAACAATTCAAATTTGATAATTACATAATTTAAATGTTGTAGGATCTAATATGACTCATAATTAGAAGTAATCTAAATCCAAATTGTTTTAATTTTCAAATTGTTTCCATTAAAATCCTATTTTTGGATAAATAATTTCAATGTGGATTTATTTATTGTAATTGATAAATATAAAGATAAACAAGACTAAAACCTCTTAAACTTTTGTTTGAATTATTTATTATACTGATGAATAATCCTCAAATATTCATGGCTTAAGTCTTAATTTTCTCTCTGATGATTTTTGAATGGTAACATAATCTGTATATACACTAAACTTCAGCCTTAATTGCTGAAAAAATTTATTATTATTTATTTATTTGTTATATTGAAAAGAGAATTTGGTGCCATTTTTTGAAAAGAGAGAAAAAATGGAAGACAGAGCAGAGTTGGACTCCATCCTGCCGTATCTTCCATTACTAATTGGATCTTCCAGGCGTCTGTTATGGCCATCCAAAGTGGTAGAGGCTCTCGAGGCCATGTCCAAAGGTCCTGATCACAGCCAAGTCAACTCTGGCCAGGTGCTCTCCATCGCCATTTCCGACATGAGAGCTTCTCTCTCCCTCCGTGACCCTCTCGCTCCCTTTTCCCCCCAAGGTTACTCTCTCTTCTTCGATGAGGTATGCTGTAATGGTAGTGGTATCTTCTCCTTGTTCTGGGCTTCCAATTTTCCTTACTTTGGATTGAATTTCTTGTGCAGCTCTTGACTGCGGCAGACTCCACAAAATGGTTTGCAGAGGTTATCCCACCGCTGGCCAATCTGCTGTTGCGGTTGCCATCCCTTCTAGACTTTCACTATCAAAATATGCAGGCGTATGGATACGGTCTCCGCATCTTGGGTCCGCAGCAACCTGGCATGGTGCTTCTGTCCCAGGTGTGTATTTTTATTATGCTTCTCGAATCTCAATCATAATATCGTACTTTTCCCGACCTGCTTTAATTTTGTTCGTGAACTTCATTCTAAAGTATCATGCTGGTTGTTGCATATATCTCTCATGTAATCTCTCATCGCCTCTCTCTTTCTTTCTTTCTTTCTCAGGAGTTGATCGGCGCTCTACTTGCATGCTCTTTGTTTTGTTTGTTTCCAGTCTCAAATAGAGGTGTAAAGCATCTTCCAACCATCAACTTTGATCAATTGTTTGTGTATGTCAACTCTCTTTTGCATCTTCTCTTGTTATTCATCATCACTACTCCATTTTCTTATTACAATACCTTTCACTTTCTATTTGTGCATCTTTGCTTCCTCTTCTTCAATCTGACATATTTTCTCTCTCTGTTCCTTGTGACTTAATATATATTGTAATTATATCCTCAGGAGTCTCTATGAAAGTTACAGCGAGAAGCAGGAAAACAAAGTAAGGTGCATCGTGCACTATTTCCAAAGGATATGTTCACAAATGCCTACAGGCTTTGTCTCATTTGAGCGCAAGCTTCTCTCTTTAGAAAATCATCCTTCGCAATCATCTGCTTCTTATCCAAATGCTGATTTTTGGACCAAATCAACTCTCTCCCTCTGCCCTTTTCAGGTAACAATTCAACATATAAAATTTATTTCTGAACTTGAATTTCAATAGTCAATATTTGCTTCTACTTGGCCTATCTTTGTCTTTACCTACATCTTACAGTTGAAGACAGCCAATTCTTATCTTATCTGTCAATGGCTGTGTAGGTTTACAGCTCAGGCTTGATAGAAGATCACTCTACTGGGGCTCTTGAAGTGGATTTTGCAAATAAATATCTTGGAGGTGGTGCTCTACATAGGGGCTGTGTGCAGGTGAGATTTTTCTTTTTCTGCTTCATTGAAATTACTTGTACACTGTTCATGACATTGTCTGCTACTAATTGTTTTTTGTACATGCCTTCTCTTGAATCTTCTAACCTTTTCAAGTTATTATTCCCAAATACCTTGTTGACTGGTAGGTCCTTTTTCTAATATTTTCATAGGAAGAAATTCGCTTCATGATCAGTCCTGAGTTGATTGCTGGCATGCTTTTCTTGCCTTCCATGGCAGACAATGAGGCTATAGAAATTGTTGGAGCAGAGAGGTTCTCAGACTATACAGGGTAAGTATCGCTCTGTGGATTATAAAACCAAAGCTTGATAAAGAGGTGTGCTACTAGTTAGCTATTTCATTTCTATGAGGTATGCATGTATCACCGGTAGCTCACATATTGTCATTGATGAATCACACAAATCACACCAGTACCTGAAGTATAATAATGTTTATATAAATATATCATGGTGTAAAAGTCATATGGAATCAATGTTGCATACGTTTTCTATCTGTTTCTTTCTGATGGAAATGGTCTTTGGGCAGTGCCTTCTGTTCCCTGCTTTTTCTATTTCCCCCCATCTTAGATTCTTAGATATACTTAAATAAGAAATTTCATAATCAAGAGTATAATGTCTGCCTGCCTTTTCTTTCACATCTTTTGCAGTTGACTTCTAATAATAAAATCACTTTTAACTGGTACAGATATGCCTTTTCATTTCGGTTTTCTGGTGACTATGTGGACAAAAGGAGTGTTGACTTCCTTGGAAGACGTAAAACTAGAATTGTTGCTATAGATGCGCTATGCAGTCCAAGAATGAATCAGTACAAGCTTAAGTACCTTCTTCGGTATGTAGTTTTTGGTTTCTGCTCCACATACATGTCATTTTAGAAAAAAAGAAAAATAGAAAAATCGGATAGCAGCCAACTGGATGAAATATTATAAGTTACTCCTGTTGGGACTGGTGGTGCTTTAAGAACACCACATTTATGCTTCAGCCAAAAAGTAAGAAAGAAAACAACCGGGTTCCAAGCATTTATGGAAACTATGCATGAAGTAAAGAGCTTTAGGAAAATTTTGCACTATTCTTCTCAAGAATCTTTGTGAGTGGCAATAACATATTAGATCTTAATAAATAAATGTTATGAAGGAAGAATGAGGATTTTATGATGTGTCATGCGCACGTCACAATAATGGATTCGCATGTACCCATGCAATGTGGTAGATGAGGCTTTATTGATCTATGCATTATTTGTGAATCCGCTGAGATTAGTTTCTGTAAGCAAATTGAATATATTTTATTTTTATATCTTGCTTCCTTTTTGATTTGTTTGGTGTAAACTATATCACTTCCAACTTGTATGTCTGGTAGGGAGACTAATAAGGCTTTCTGTGGCTTTTTGGACCAATCAAATTATAGCCAGTACAAGAGACACTTTCAAGATAATGGACTCAGTGCAGGTCAGCTTCATCAAGATAACAAACATGATGGTGACATATCCAGGAATGAAGTTTTGGTGCGACTGTTTTATCATCTTTTCTCTAATCTTTTGTGTTTGTTTCCCTAATTGACAAACCCTGGAGTAAAAAACTCAATTTAACCGGGGAAGAGCCATCATATCAGTTTTCTTATGATCTATAATTATTTGGATTTGCTTATACTTAGGGGCCAATTGGTTTGCTCTTTACTATCAAGTTTTATGTTGATCATAACTGTTCTGTTTATAGTTAAATGAGGCTCCCTCTACGTCTAATGAAACAAATGAAGGAGGATCAAGGATGGAGGTGGTCAGAAAGTCTGATGAGAAAGGTGGTCAATTTATGGACCCCGAAAATTTTATTGGGATAGCAACGGGGAATTGGGGCTGTGGTGCATTTGGAGGAGATCCTGAACTAAAGACCATAATTCAGTGGCTTGCTGCTTCTCAGGTATATATTCTGTCCCTAGAGCTTGCATATTAGATGCCATGGTCCTCAAAGGTGTAAGGCTCTTCTAAATAGTTAAATATTGTACTGCCTGAGATATAAAATAGGAAATTTTACATTTCCATGTGTTTTTCATATTTTTGCTTGAAATTGATCTTTCCATTAACCTGAATACATCTGTTCCAGGCTTTAAGACCTTTCATTTCATACTACACTTTTGGTCTTGATGCACTGCAAAGTCTTGCTCAGGTATTGCTCTTGTTCTTGCTAGTGTAGAAAGTTCATGGTAGATAAGCTTCCTCATAAGGCATTGCTGTGGTTCATTCTCATGGATCTTAAATGCCTTATACTGCTTCTTTAGTATTCTGCTTCATGCTTTCTATGTGAGGTGCACCTGTCACAAGTTATTCTTTCCATATTATAGTAAGTACGGGATGCTGCACTTTCTTTCTGAATTTATCGGAGTCCTCAATTTAAGGTGCTCTAGTCTGGTCAATTGAACAATCATCTTTGTTTCTTAAAATTTTCTTGTAATGTCCTTCTGGTTGCTTATATTCCTTCAGTATTGTTGGTGTTCTGTCCTTCAGCTCTATCACTTCATTCATACTCTTCTTTTGTTCAATATTTTCTCCTGTACATTAATACTCTTTAATTTTGGCATCACATGGCAGGTGAGTCAATGGATTCTTTTGCATAAATGGAATGTTGGAGACCTCTGGAATATGTTGATAGAATATTCATCCCAGAAATCGAAAGGAGAAACAAACCTTGGCTTTTTCGCTTGGCTTCTTCCTTCACTGCCTCACTGTGAGGCGGCTGACCCGGCCAACTAATAAATTGTAATGTTTTGGATAATTGAATCTGAGTTTATGCCCGCCATTTTTCTGTATGAGAGTATCTGGTTGTTAGTATTTGCGAGAATTTAGTTCTATATCTCTGTTGTAGCTGCTGCGTGGTGCCTCCTTAGTTCTGAATCTCTTTTGTAGTTAATATATATATACTTGTTGGTGCTGTTGTAGTTAATGTATGGTTCCTGTCATCCGTCCTTCCTCAGCATCATCCAGAACTACATTTAGGATATAGGGAGGAGCTATTTATCTACACTAAATTGATTTGCCCATAACGATGCATTTTCCAGAAATTACCTCAAGGTACAGATGAAAGTAGACTCAATCAGAATAGTGAGAAGAAGAGAGTTTTTGTAATTACATGTAATATTCCTAGGGTTTGAATTAACTGCTACCATTTGAAATTGACCAACACAGCAAAAGGTTTTTCCGTGATGGAAGTCAAAGACAAACGGCTTCTAACTGTTTGAGCCATAACCAGGACAAGCAGGCACGATTCTGGTCAAATGACTTGATGCCAAGATGATGCGTGATCTGGTGCTTGAGAGTCTCTCCCCCTTTTCCTCTCTGTGGGTCAAGTCAACCCTCATTCCTACCGCTACCAACCAGTAAAGAGTCTAAGGTAGGTTTATTCCCAAAGTATATGCCTCTTCACGAGAATAATTCCTCAGAATATACTCTTTTTCTCATCAAATCATGGGGAGGTATGGACCAACAGAGGACCTCTTTGTATATTGCTAATTTTAATTCCCTTGAAATGCAGTAGTGAATATATATGTTTTTGTTTTTCTTGATGAAATTATGCATTATTGAATATGTTTGTTGATGGTCATCTAGTCATTTTTTCTCCTCTTCTTGACCTTGTACCAGTTGCCAGTACCAAGTTCGTGTGCAGAATGATGCTTAGATGACCATCAACAAACACCTTCATCGTTTGCATTCTTCTCTTTTTGCTCGGTGCTATGCTAAACAATTGGTAAGCGCAACTTAAGGTACGTATCTAATTTGTAATCTACAGTCAAACTTGAATATTATGCTGCTAGTTTGTGTCAGAATTTATATAGAGTACTAGTATTAGTTTAGACGAAGAAATTAATGAAATTGATCAGTGATGATATGTCAATGTTATCCATGGTTACTGGACAATCTTAATTTGATCCTTAAAAATAACTTTATTTTGAGTATTTGTAAGGAGATATTGCAGTGAACAGCTACAATGCCCACTTCATCATATAATTGAAGGTATCATTATCATAAATAGAGTAGCTGTTTAAGAGGTTTATCTTGCTATATTATTTCACAGCACAAAGTTTGCATGGTGCATGGCAGGAAGGAATCATCCACGCTTATTGCATCTCAAACATGAACCCCAGAATTTGATTTCTGGGACATTATTTTTTTCATTTAATCTGTGAGATCAGTCAAGGGGGTTAAAGGGTGCTGCTTGCAGCTACAAATTAATGCATGGATTGGAAATTTTTTCCACAAGTTTTTGGAACCCGAAACCAAGTGAATTTGTATGCTGAAATGAGAATGGAACAACCACAACAGGAATGATTGAAAAATAAGTTGAAATGAGAACGGAACTGCTCTGAGTCTATACTTGACAGGGGTCATCCTCTTTCTTCCATGACAAGCCAAAGGACCTTTCGTGACAATCTTAGGTTCCATCCAAACCAGAACGGCTAAGAGGAAAATTTGTAACGAATCTCAGGTCAGCTTAAAGACAATAAGAGGAAAATTTGCTTCAACTTGGCTTATTAAAGAAATTTTAACTACTCTTGTTTAATTTGGCTGTCTCTTTTTACAGTGATATTACAGAAATGGTCAATTTGCAGAGATTTAAATTGAGAAGCAAAGGGTTCATTCATGTGAGATCTCAGAAGGAGAAAATTTCAGAAAATGAAAAGTGCCAAGAAGAACAAGTATAACACAAACATGGAAGACATATGAGTACCTAACAAAAAGAAATTAAGGTTCAAAAGAATGATACTCAAAATGCTGACAATGTTGTAATAATCTGTCAGAAACAACTAGATTGGAGGATGAATAATATTGGTGAATGAAAGAAAACATTACAAGTTGCCTTTGGGGCTCCAATTAATATCTGAGATTCACTTGTTTTGTGTGCCTAGCTTTTTCTTGGTTTATAATTAATTATACACTACAATATAAGGCTTAAGTATGGAAAAAGCCTCTATTGGTTTAAGTTGATGATTTTGGGGTCGGAATTGGACCAATTCCATGATGACTCCAACAAAGAAATTGATATCTTTGAAGAATAATGCATTCGGTATTTGACGGAGGGGGGCCATTTGCTTGATTTGTTTAACCACGACTATGACTTTTTTTAACTCGTGTTGTCGAGTTTGTCTGAATTGAGATTGAAACTTGGAAATCTGAATTTGCCCCCTTGCTGTCCGAGCGCAAGTTGAAGCACGGGATGTTTATATTCCACGCAGACAGTAAATGAGGCATACTGTATATATAATATACCATAATTAATCCTGCACAGAATCAAAATTTCCTTTTAAAATTATTAACAACTCAAGGAAGTGATACACCCCTGCGAATGATTCAAAAAATACAGTTAAAAAGATAAGTTGCAAAGTTGGTTTTTCATTTGGCTCCTCTGTGAGGCTGAGCATGGTGGGATTACAGCTATCTGTACTGTTGCAGGTATAGATGCCGGCCGTTATAATTTAGGCAGCCCAACCGCTTAGAGTCAGAACGTTTTTATATGCAGATGCATGAACATGCTTGTTTGAACTTGGCTCTAAATTCTAATAGCCCAAACCACATATACTGCCTGTTGCAAGGACTAGCCTTATTTAAAATGATCATATCAAATGACAAAAACTGTAACAACCAGAGCATGCAGGCCCTCCTCTCCCCTTGTCCTTGAAATGAACAAAAACGAAAAGAATCAGAATAGGAAACAAGCATGGTTGAATGCAAATTAAGACTGAAAATGAAACAGATTAATTATGAACATCCTAGAAATCTTCCTCTTTTGCTGAATTTCAGCTCACAACAGATGGCAGGTTGACCTCAAACTTGGAGACAGACAGCACCCTGCAGTAGTTTTAACAAAACGATTGCAGACACTATACTAATTCTCTTAATAGTGCTTGCAGCTGGTATTGTTACCTTTTCATGGGAAGCTATAATATAATTAAAGCAAAGTATTGTTAACATTTACTAGGCAATTTAAACAAATGCATTGGCACTGTACCCTTAGGCGCCAGTTACACATGAAAACATTCTATGGCTCCTAAATCTCTTAAGTTTCGGCGCAGGAGGAGTTGGAGAAGCACCAGTTTTCATGCCATCCACCGATGAGTACCCCATGGAGAAATCTCCCATAGACACGTGACGGCGGTGACCATTTCTCTGTGTCTTGAGACCACAATTCTTTTCAGCTGTCGAAGATTTCATATACACAGGACTCTGACCATCAACATCTGCAATGTTGTAAGTTTGGGCTGCACCAGATGAGAGACACTGATATTGGCGGCGAGTTTTATTCTTCTTGAGTGTTCTGTAAACCAGAGGGATGAGACCCTCCATAGCTGTGGTTTCTTGACTTGGCGTCCCAAACCAAAGCAGTAATACGAAATGCTGTTGATGAAGAAATTAAGAGGAGGCTGGAACTTGGAAATGGTAGACTTTTGGGGTATTGGGGTTGGTGGAGTATTATGTAAGACAGCAATTTTTCCTTGTAGGAAAGACGTGGCAAGTCTAACACGTCATTTTGATTTTCAAGCATAGACGTATCCCAGGAAGTTGCCTGAATTGGATGCAGAAGTTTCCAACCTCTCTCTATACAAACTGTACAATTATTTTCTAGTTTCAGCAAAACCCTATCCTTAAACTAAATGTGAAGAATAATTATCAATATAAAATTAAAGTGATAATCTTTCTTAAGAGATATGCTGCCATTGACCAAGCAATACATAGAAGCTTATAATTATAAACTTGCACAATATAAAATACAGCAAGTTGCTTGTTAGGAATTCTTCTATTTTAAATACTGAATATATATATATATAACATATATATCATTAATTGACTCGTTTGAGCTTAATTAGGTATATCTACCCCCAATTTCCTTTCATGATAAAAACATGTTGATTTTTTTTAATATAAATCTTTTTCATGAATTAATTGACACATTTAAAATTTTATTACTACAATTACTCTCTAAGTTGAACTTCTTATATATGGTCCTACCTTAATGGCATTGATTGATGCTGATTTGGTTAATTTAAACTTTAGCTAGACTTTAATTAATTTGATTTATTAGTGTAATTCTCTTTTGTCCATAGCAAAACATGGTAGTCATTTTTTTTAATTAATTCTCTGTTGTTCTAATTACATACTCGATTTTAGTTTTTTTTTTTATATTATTATAAGCAAGGATTTCAAAATTTATAATTACTTTCTTGTTAATTTTACGATATAGTGATTCAAACTTAAATTTTTTTGACGTATTATTAAGCAGATTGATTGATTCATAAAACACTAACGCTTAACTAACCTTAAGTAATTTAAGGTATATGGGGCAATCTTATTTAGTAGTAATCCTAAATGGGGAGTTACGTAGTGTAATAAGCAAAGGAAAAGCTTGCTATAAAGAGAAAAACCATAAAAAAACATTGGCATGAAGTCTTCACAGATGAAAACTAAATCAAGATGAAGAAATGTCTGTGTTGCGATTGTCTAATAATTATTATCATATAAAAAAAAAAAAGAAAACTGCAATGTTGGATTCTATTTGGAGTATGTCAACAATGGCGGCAAACATTATACGCTTGTAAAGAAGATGGTGGAATTAAGGCCTATCCAAATTCAAATAATTAAGATATTAAATTAAAGTAAGTAGAGATGATATAATATTAAGCAAAGTTTAGGTGAAGAGTCACAATCTGGTTGACCTGTACACGGTGAAATGTGACATGCATGGATGACGGTCGCCGGCTTCAGCCTTCAGCCTCCAGCTGCCACCTATCTATCAGGCTATGCAGTCCATTGTTTTTCTTTTTAGCCAATCGTTTTGGGCCTGGCATGGTGCGGTGTAAGGTTTTGCATCTTTCATATTTTCATCAAATCATGAGTTTTTCATAAGAGCAGGCTGTAGGTTCCATTACCAGTTCCAGGTCACTCAAATGAAGACCAGGAGACTTACACACTCAGTATCTGTCACTGTCACATTAATTCTCCATAAATAAGCAACTACTAAAGATTATGTATCAAGTACTTAGCATTCATTCAAGTGTATAGAGATGAAAATGCTTGTCTGAAACGAGTTCCATAGCTTATGGTGAAGACTACAATTCCATAAGTTAAGAATATCAAAGAGCAACTGATACTCATTCAATACAGCCAAAGGTTTGACAGACACAAGTGGAATTAAGGATCATGAACTATACTTCAAACAAATTGTTCTTGTAGCAAAGATTCCAATCCGAATCCTCTGAACGAGCCAAACCACCTCCATCAGTGCTAATCGACTCTGCACATGAACCTTGTACTGGAGACTGAAGCTTTTCTTTGCTTTCACCATGTACAAATTCAGTAGACCCAAAAGCATTCTTTAAAGTTGGAACATTCCCTACATCAACATTGATCTCAAGACTTTGGCAGGGTTTAAGTGGGTCACAGCTATTCACATTTAATTCTTCCTCTTCATCTGATAGGCATCTGCAACTATCAACCTCATCCATCTCAAAAATTCGACTTACTAATCCTTCTCTCCAGGATATTCTCATCAGTGATTGTGACACATTCTCGAATGTAGAATTAGAAGTCCACAAAGATTGATCACCCAGAATTTTCTGAAACGGAGGAAGCTCCATAGAATTGGAAGGTGCAGTCAAACGATCGAACTGAAAACTAGAACTGGTTGTATCCCATATTGATACATAGCTCTTGGGAGACAAGCTTTCCGTCCCAAGATCTCCAGCCACCGAAAGTAGCTGATCAGAATGAAAGTGATATCTCTTGTGGTCCTTTGCACTTGAACATGACAGCCCAGCATGCCTTTCCAAGCTCGAATCAGAGGTTGGGGTTTGCATAACATTTTCACTCCCGAAAGTATCCGTAGAGAATGGAGAGCATCCTCCTTCAATCTTATAGCAGTGCTTTGCCTCTTCTTTCAAGGGAACAGCTCTGGAATAAGGCGTGGCATTTGGAGAGGACGAAACAAGAGCATAGTCACTTAAAGAATCTAAACATACTTGAAACTGAGGAAGTTGAGTGGAAATAAGCATATTATTTGTGCTCCTTTGGCTCTTATTACAGCTGCTATTAGGAGTATCACTTGTGTTATTGCTGAAGTTACACAAATCCAAAGATAAGCCAAGATCAGATAAAGGTGAGGAAGGATACGGAAGCGTTTTAGGTTCGAGCAAGCCGTGCAAAGGAGCAGAATTTTCCTTGTCATCGAGGTCGTCCCCATGACATGGAGACAAAAGCCAGTGCATTGAAGCCTCAGCAGGTGAAGAGAGCTTGGAAACACTGGATCTGTTAACAAGTCCTGTAGGATAATCTTTTTCGCGGTCAGCACTGTTAGAATTACCGCTCGACATATCATTAGCAGCCGGTAGAGCTACAGCAAGTACCCCTCTGGCCCTGCATTTCCTCCGGTCAGTAACCCCAGAAATGAGATGACCAGCACCATAGCAAGCAGGAGTATTTGCTGTGGTGGCGGTGGATTGGATCTCCGGAGAAAATGAAGCCTGAATTGGTGGGGTTTTAGAGTTACTAGAGCTAGCCTTTGATTTGTCATCATCGATAAGCCTATTCTTATGATTATCAACAACAGCAGCTACACAATCGAAAGCGGAACGAATTGTGAACTTACTCACAGCCACGGGAGTGAATAGGAGCTCCTCCTCAGGCAGCTTTAACAAGTCTTGAGACACAGAAAGCGACTCGGTTTCAGGAGCGGCATTATTGGAATCCAAAAAAGGAGGAGTTTCTGAAGTGGGCTTCTTGGAAGATTGGGATTTCTTAACTCTGCCTAGTTTGGAAGAAGAGCTTTCGTTGATAAAAGGGAATGGTTTGGAGTGAGTGGGGCGTGAAATGGGGGCAGATTTGGGGGTTTTGGAG